ATGCAGACAGTGATCATAATGATAATCACAAAATATGACGAATAGCAGATAACAGAGGGAACATGATAATAGATATATGAACAATTATTACAATAATGGCAATGCAAAATAAAACAGTGATGATGGAAAGAATAGAAATAAAGAATAAGAAGATAAAGGATAAACAGTATTACCAAAAGAACAGTGAATAATAATGATAAAAATAAGGGCTATGAAGATAATATCAATACTGCAAATTGCAAATAGAAATCCTTATACGGCCAAAGCGCTATTTCACGGCAGAAGGATATTTCGCAAAGCGATCTTGGACCCATAAATCCCGCTAAAGGAGAATGTTATTGTATTACTGCAGAGCCTCATCGCCTTGAACGTACGAAATCCCGAGCATAATGTGAAACAATCTCTCACATCGTCTGAGTGAAGAATCATGGCCATTCTGCATGATGTTAATGCCCTCTTAACAACTAAGTACGTAGGCATGTTTACTACAGTGTACCCTAATAATAACTGGTTGTTAACGAGAGCCTTCCGAAATAATAGCCGTGGACGGGACGATAATTTAGTAAAATGTGATAGAAATTAGAGTGTGATTTTATAACGCTGCATTAAGCAGAAATTCAATTTCGAATATTCGTATTTCAGCAAAAGCTACAGAGTTCCGTGATTTTAGTGTAAACAAACCTTTCTGTCTAACCATCACCTAATGCATGTATCTAAATATGTGATGCATGCGTAGTAGTTTTTGTCTAGCCTTTTATCGGTCTATATGGATGCATATTGATGTTAGCGCACGTGTGAGTATGAGAGAGAGAGAGAGAGAGAGAGAGAGAGAGAGAGAGAGAGAGAGAGAGAGAGAGAGAGAGAGAGAGAGAGAGAGAGAGAGAGAGAGAGAGAGAGAGAGACTCGCACACACACATATACATACAGACATGCAATGAAAGAGTGACAGATATATAGACCCAGAGGCAGAGACAGCCAGACAAACAAACAGACAAAGAAAGAGAGGGGGGGGGACGGACAGACATAGACAAAGAAAGTGACACAAGCTGACAGACAGACAATCGGACAGAGACAGACGAACAGACAGAGATTATCTTTATTCACAGAAACACACACTAGAACTCTTACACTGTCAGTGTATTGTCGCCTGGGAATACACTTTAACACGGACACTTTCCAAGGTCCTCCTCTCCCGAAAGGCAAGGGGGATAAATGAACGTGCACAGGACACACGCAAAAACAAGAGACACTTAGAGCTTCTGTCGCTTATAATTCACAGTGACAGCGCCAAAGTTTCTGAATTGCGGTCCAACTTTCCTATTGTTTGTCATCACTATAGTTTCTGGAAAGGGATACAAGTAGTTATCGCTGCGTCTATATCAGTGTACATATAAAGTTACATTTTCTCAAAAGGGGCTTCCGAGTTCTGTCATTTCATTGATTTTGTTGTTCAGTATAATTAAGTGTATTTCAAGTATACTGGATTAATATCATTTTTTTAATGAAATAGATGTAACCTTTCAGATTTCTAATCCAACTATTTTGACCTCACGAAGCTTATGAAGAGATTACGTAATAAGGGATAATATGTGATCTTAAATATAGTTCATGTTCTTTTCTAATCTTCAGAGGCAACAATATGAAGGCCAGACCAAATCTCTTCATGCCATTCATGTTTTGAACAAGCGAAGGTAAAGTTCACAATGTTCACGTTACTTTTAATTAGACAGTGTTCCGCTGTGGCTTACACGCCTTAGCCGCCGCCACCCACTTATTTGCACGTGTGGAGTACGTGTATGACAGAGTTGGTAAGCGTGCTTAAACCGAGGGGGGGGGGGGAGGACGCATAAGCGAGCACAACTCACACTCGCGAGTCTTGACTCTTTGAATACTTCGTAATTAGAATGTTTCTTCTTACTTTCTCTTCCACTGTCTCATTTCTTACTCTCTCTTTATCTCTCCTGATTATCTCTTCACGAGTGGAAACCACGCCTTAAGGAAGCGTAAGTTATCACTTTCTTAATGCTTTGGCCAACAGAAGGTTCTTTGAACGGCAGAGAACGTTTTATTTAGGCGTAAATCCCTCTACGATCGTTTACAACAAACGTTTGAATGGAATTCCTCCGTTAGTAATCTTAAACCAGCGCCATTGTGCGCGGGGTAGTTAGTAAGTGGGTTAATGGTAAATTCACTCGTTTTTTTTTTTAGATTCAGACAATGTAAACCTCTTCTGATTTGGTAAACGAATCCCCAGGTAAATAAACTTCATAAACCTGAATTTTAATCAGTATTATGTCTACTTCAGTAATTTAAGGTCTTTTTCTCGCCATTCAAAGTTATCATTTCAATATCGATGACCTTTAATTCATGTCATTTATTACTTTTCTCTTATTATTTTTACTGAGAGTCTTTATCATTAGATTTCGTATTTTTTTTTCTTTTATCGTTTCTGTCTCGTTCCTTCTTGGACAATCTGAACTTATATGTCAGCATGCCCACT